GAACGCTGGTAAACTTTGGCTGGGCCACGTGGAGCTTTTCATTCATTACTAAACTGGTTAAGTCTTAGTAGTTTAACCAAAGCAAGCTGTTCCAGCTAGAGAGAGAGCAAGAGTGCACATCTGTCTCCAGTGCCTGTTCCGAGCTGGCCTGAGCTACAGCCAAGGCAATACCCGTTAGTCCTACCACTGGTGGAAGAAGGAAAGTGCTTCTGAAGAAGGAGACAGAGAGCCAACCAGGTCACCTTCAAGGGAGGATGCCCTAGATGATCTTGGCACTCTGCTTCCATGGAAGGAAAAAAAAAAGGTGTACAGGATGGCTGGGTCTCCTCCTGTAGGAGGAGCATCTCCCCCCTCCACAGCATGAAAAGAGTGAGCAGAGGGAGACTTCCAAGCCTGCTTCTTACAGGTTTTATTCTAATTTATTGCCCATCCGCTTGGGTGGAAGAGATCAGAGAGACCCAGCTACACCACGTCCTCTTAATTTAGTGCATGGTACTCCAACTGCTGGAAATGCATTCTGATTGCTGCCCTGGAATCTTATTCAGACAGACCACTTCTCTCTGAGAATAAAAAAGAGTCAGGGAGATCCAGTGGCTCCTCCTCTCTAGGTCAGCATAGGCCAGTGGGTGCTGACGTAGCATTTCGACCCACCTTTCTCATTTTTTACTGCCCAGCTGTTATAACTCCCCCCCGCACCTGTCCCAGCCAACAACCATGTTAGATCTGCACAAGGAGCTTTCAGGACAGTGTGGTATAGTAGAAAGCACCAGGGGTTGGTGTTAGCAAGTTTGGGTTCTAGCCCTGGTTCTACCTCTAGCTAACTGCATGACTCAGGCAAGTCAGTTCTCTAAGATCTTGGATAATAACACAATAGTGGATGTTTACTGAGCATTCACTGTCTGCCCCATACTTCTGTAAGCACTCCACTTACAACAACCATTTGTTCTCATGATAACTACACAAAGAGGGTAATATTGTTAGTCCATTTTGAGATGAAAGAACTGAGGTCTAGAGGGGTAGGCAACTTGCCCACAACTAGTAGGTAGCAGAACAAGAACTTGAATTGAGATCTGCCTGACTGCAGGATTCTCCTGATGCGCATTGGTCCTGTATTCCCAGATGACTTCTGGTGCCCATATTGAGCACCAGAGAGCCCCAACAATTGATTGATGCTATGAGATGTCCTCATTCAGCAAAGGATACCAGCACAAAAGTCCTCCACACAACCTTTCGGGGACCCAGTGTGACAGTGTATACCTACCTGGACAGGGCCAGTGGTGAGATTAGTTGAGCAGTGGTTCTATCCATTGAAGATGGTCCCCCTGCATCAGCTTGTCCTCCAGCCCTCCTTTCCTTGACTGTCTGGCCATTGGCTGATTGGCCATTCCCCTTCCCTTTGCCTGTGTGGGTGTGCCTTCCCCAGTGCTCACTGCTGAGGCTCTGATTGGCTGTTTCTTTTCCAGGCCTTGTTCCGGACAGTGGCCATGATGGTTCCAGATTACGCACTCATTGGAGAGATCTCCCTCTACTCTATGGGATTTCTGGACTCCAGAAGGTATGCTACACTGGTTTTCCAGTGGGTTCTAAAGCCCCTTAAAGAATGGCTTTTTGTGAGATGCACTCAAGGTGGGTCGCCCATTGGAAGAAAAGAAGAAACTTGAGGAACTTGCTCCCACTCACAGGCTGATGTGAGAGCACAGAGAGCCCTGGCCTTGGTCCTGACCCATTCCTGACCAGGAAACAGCTCAGATTCCCAAGAAAGTGCCTCCCCTCTCTTCACATACACCTGGACTTCTATTAAAGAAAGTGGCTGCCCATCTCCTCCCCAGCCCTGGCTCTAACACATCACACCCACATTACTAAATGGTTTAAGGCAAGACTGTACAACATCTGAAATTATTCCAAGATCAAAGAGGAAAATTCAATGCAAGTTACAATTAAATTGTTGTCAACATAATATTTATTCAGTCCAGTCCACTGGGTTTCTCTCATTCTAGTATTATCCGGTTTTCCAAGACACACACATACGCACACGCACACACAAACAAAGATCAGTGTCTTCATGTGCGTGTGTGTGTACACACATACACATATCACATTCACAAAGAATTATGAAAAGTCATTGTAAAACTGTTGTTTTTATTGGTCTAT